AATCCAGTTGTTATTTCATTCTCTCACATGCGTACTTTTATTCCCGGGCAGATTTACTTTTTGGCGGCTTAATTAACTTCACTTCTAAGGCCACAATACATGACACAACTAGTCGAGCCGAGTAGCTTACACGAAATGGATTGTTCTTTGATGTCTGCTCGACTTCACTCAGTTTGATAAATGTGGTGAGTTTAAGTCGGTTGAAAGTTCGTTTAAATAACAAATCGAGTTCGACTCGCCTCGCTAAAAATTGAAAATAAAATCTTTTGTAAAATTATATATACTTTGGTTCGTTAAGACTCAAGTGTGACTAATTAATATTTATAAAGGAGCAAAGTGTAGATTGTGTGGTTTGTGAATATCAAAAAGACGGCTTAAGGAAAATGAAGAAAAAGAAATAAAAATCAAAGTCGAGGCACGTAATAATTACGTTCTCCTTAAGACGAAATTGCCACGTAAAATACTCACGGTTAATGGCAAACGCCTCCAAGATACAACGACTTTCGACTTGTATATAACGGTACTTCAAATATACAAGCCTTCGGCGAACATTACTATTGTTTAGAACTCTCAAGACTCAATGAATAAATCATAGACCACAATATGCTATATGATCTTTGAAAAATAATGCAAGAGCTCTCTAATTTTTAAATTATAAATAATTTCATGCATGTGGGTATTTATAGATGTAGCATAACACCTCCAAGAGGTTTAAGTGTCAATAGACACCTTTTGGAACATACCCGAATGAGAATGGATGCATCTAGTGCCCGAAAGATACCTTATGGTCACCAAGGATTGCGACCCTTTGATTTCCGCAGCCAGTTACGCGCTCGTGCGCCGCTGGCTCGTACGAGCTCATGCGGACTCAGAATCAAGTTCCCTTTTTTTCTACTTGTCCCCAACAAGCCCCTCTACAATTCTAGCATACATAATGCATAATTATGGCTCGTTTGGTTTGTCCAAAACATAATATTTGTGAACCCCACACTCTTTGAGTTATTTAAACTCAATCAATTAACATATAACACTTAGAATTAGTTTCTCATTCACCTTAAAAAGGTTTTGAGAATTTTCTAAGTCTTCTACTTATGAAAAATAAAATTATATCGATACAAAACCAATTATTTCTTACACAATGCTCGACCACCTTGAGTTCGGGCTCAATTCGACTCGTTTTCATTCGACTAGGATACAAACATTTATCAAGAAGAGGTGAGCTTGATTTGTGAATTAAAAAGTTAAATTTAACTCTTTTATTAATATTAACACCTAAAATAATGAATGACTCGCTTCGTTTAAGGACCCACAATTCTAGACAGTATAGACGTGGCCAAAACCCGTTTCAGACCGAGGTTTGGAGGGACATGAACCGGCCTAAACATATGCACGAGCTAGTTCAGTGAACTGTCGGTTCAAGACTGACTCGATTCAATTAAAAACAATAAAAAAATTTGAACCGTTGATTCTGATTCAAGTTTATAACCGGCCCAATGGTTCAAAAATTACAAATATGTAGTTCACCGGCTCGGTCAAATCACGAGTTGGTTCCTGCCAATTTGAGCCAATGCGGCCCGTGTCCATGTTTAAGAAATAGTTACATTTAGTTTGTTATCATGGGCCCACGTTTTTGCAAGAGAAAATTCGATCCTATCAGCCCCTTGAGTTGTTCACTATTGATTTCACACACGCCCATATGATTGTGTGGGTGATAGTGTGTAAATCAATGACGGAAACTTTATGAGGGCTTTGTTTTATGGGATAGGGTTTTTCCCTTTGCAAAATTTTCGGTTCTACCCACTTTGATATGCACTAAAAACTTTTTTTTTTCACTTTATTAATTTATTTACTTTCTTTGAAGGAAGAAAATAAAGATTTCTCAATGTATATACCTTTTGCTTTCTTAATAATCCAAGTTTCAATTCTATTTTTTTTTTTGATATTTCAGAATTGATTAAGGATAATTTTTTTTCTTTCCTTGCACACATCATGCATGAGTCATGTTGGTCAAAGTGAGCAAAGTTAAACAACTAGAATCAAATTGTTTAATATAAACAACTCATTTGAACAATTAGGGCTGTAAACGAGTCGTGCCGAACTCGAGCTTAAGGTGATTGAGCTCGAGCTCGAGCTTTTAACGAGCCAAACTTAGCTCGGCTCGTTAAGTAAACGAGCCAAAAATCAAGCTCGAGCCTTAACGAGCCGATTTCGAGCTTTAACGAGTCGAACTGTAAAAAATTACATAAATTTCACTTTTCGAGCCTTATCGAGACGAGCTCGGCTCGTTAACCAAACGAGCTTTAAATGAGCTCGAGCTCGGCTCGTTAAGGCTTCAAACTCTAGCCGAACCGAGCCTTAACGAGCCGAGCTCGAGTGGAGCCAGACTCGTTTAATTTAACAGCACTATGAACAATCAAGTCCGTTTATCAATTTATTAATATGTCCCCGCAAGCTTGGATTCCTCGTTGAAATTTTACTGGACAAATTTTTGTTGGGCTGTAACAACAAATTTTATGGAAGACATAAAATTTTTGTACAACTTGATTTATTTCGATCAAACGATATGTGTGTACAATCTCTATTTATCTTCTCTAATTCTTCTCTTCATGGATTTGGGTTTGAGATCTTGAAAGATGGATTTGACGATTGAACCTCCTTCGGCTTGGTCTTGAATTTCTCTAACATTAATTTGGGGGTCGAATGACTTATTCCCGTATTAAATGTTAGGCCTTGACTTGATTGAAGACAACTTTTTTAAGAACTCGTTTCTTTGATCTTCTAGAAAGAGGGACTTTGACTTGAATAAAGTTGACTCGAGGGCTTGATAGCTTTTTCTCAAATCAAACGCTATGTTGGTTGAACTTCTCAACGAACGGGGCTAGAATGTCGCTAGAACGTCGTTGATATTCATGGATTGACTTGAGAGGAGTGGAAGTCGTCTCTTTACTTATTGGGGAAGAACCGCCGCCTTTTTTTCTTCTTCCTGGCCTTCTTCTTCATTGAATGGACTTCGGACGGTTTTTCAAAAACTTCTTCAAATCAAACTTCTTCAAATCAAACTTCTTCAAATCTTCAATAGGATTCTTGAGAGCTCTTGAATTTGAGACTTTAATATTTGAGATGTGTTTGATATTTTTGAGGTGTGTTTGAGGTGTGATTTGTGGGATTGAGGAGAGCCCTATTTATAAGTGTAGGAGAGAGTCTTGGAAAAGAAGACATCAATTTGATTGGTTCTTCTTGATTTGATATAATATCTTTCCTTATCCTAAGATTTGACTTGGTGGACAAGAAACAATTACTTTATTAATTAATATCTTATTTATCTTGGATTTATGTTCCAAAAATAAATAAAGACATTAATTAATAAAATATTAAAATTTCAATGTTTACAGGGCCATCTCTAGCCCTTATATCTACTCGCATACTTCACTCTATTATAGAGTTAAGTGAAACATTTATCTATAGCCTTTATCTTTACATTTTACTTTACTTCAAATATATTTTTATTCATTTTTATTTCAAATAAATTAGTATATATATGTATATTTAATCTTATATAAATACTTATTACCCAAATAATAAAATATATTTATTTAATTTTATTTCAAAAATATTGATATATATATATATATATATTAAATTATAAAAAATATTTATTACCCAAATAATAAAAATGTATTTATTAATTTTTAATACATCAATAAATAAAATTATTTAGCATAAAAATACATAGCACAAATTTATTTAGTTTAAAAATACATTTATTAAAATACATTATACAAAAATTTAGCATTAATATCACATTAAAATACATTAAACAAAAAAAAAGGGGAAAAAAGTAGTGTTGGAGATACAGTGTTGTGCCACATCTAGCGCAACATTATTCACATCTCTCCAATAGCGCAGGTATGTAGCGCAAGGTTGGAGCAGTTTTTATCGCCATTTCAGCGCACAGAATGAAGTCTGTGCACCATTGGACACGCTCTCAGTTGTTATTCCCCATCTCTTAAAAGTTTGCTATTTTGGCCGACATCAGCTTAATGTACTAATTTACTAAAAATATAAAACAATGAACAATAGGTGAATAAATAATTTGGATAAAGATCGAATTATTTAAATCTATGATGGGAAATTTATTTCGTGCTCAAAAATTTTGAATACAAAATAAGGGAATTGCTATTTTGGCCGACACCAATTTAATGTACCAATTTACTATAAATATAAAACAATGAAAAATAGGCGAATAATTTGGATAAATATCGAATTATTTAAATCTATGATGGGAAATTTACTTCGTGCTTACAAAACTTGAATACAAAATGTAGGATGAACTGAATCTCGATTGCGCTGAAATCTTACGGGTCCGGCCATCTCGATGAAACAAATGTGGTGGTAAGTCGCTTGACTAGATTGATAGGCGAAATTTTGAATAAGCAAAAGTACTTTGATTGAACCAGTTTTTTGTGAATATGATTGTCTTGAGGGACAAATAATGGACGTCGAACGATACTAAAATGACCCCAAACAAAGATCAATGAATTTGGACTATATTTTTTTTTTGGATGAAAAAATGAATGGGTAAATAAACTCTGAATAGGCTGGATTTTTCAGGGTAAGACAATCTTTACGAGAAAAAATCAAACGGTAGGTGGTTTGATTGAAAACATAATGAACAACGTTGGGATGAGATTCGATAGACAAAAACCTATATTGCTTTTGGACAAAATATGATCGGAAAAATAAATTCCAATTGAGCCGAACTTTGTATGTACAACTGCTTTACAACTGCTTTGATTAACAAATTCAAGGTTGCATCGTCTAACTGAAACTAGGGCAGCTATCGAGCCGAATTGTTCGCGAACAAAGCTCATTCGTGTCGATAACAACTCATTCGTTTAGTAATCGATATGCACTCGAACACGAATAATCGAGCGTTCTCAAACAAACAGTATTTTATAATTTTATATATTATATATCTATAGTATACACATATCTAATATATTATAGATATAGATATATATTAAATATCAAATAAAATACTTGTATGGTATTAAAATAAATAATAAAAAATAAACAAACACGTACACGGACACTAACTTGTTGAACAATTTGAACAGTTTACGAACAAATTCGACTATATAAACCAGCAAAACGCAAACGTGTTGAACCAATAAATGAACGAAATTTTTTGTTTGATTACTAAACGAACGAACACGAACATGTTTAAAAATTAGCCGAACTCGGCTCGAAAACCTTAAGCTCGGTTTTAACTGAAAGAGATGGCAACCAACGTTGAAATAAGCAGGGAAAAAAAATAACATGTGAGTCCAAATCAAAAATTCATGTGAGTCCAAATCAAAATCAGATTATAGTTGCTGGATTTTTGTGCAGATAACCAAAATGCCCAATCAAAAATTTCCCAATAACCTGCCTAATGATAACCAAAATATAAATAAAGATGCACATAAAGCATGTTCAATTGTTTTTATATATATAATTACACATTTTTATAGGTTACATACAATTTTTTTATTGGCACACTTCTGGTATGAAACCGGACTCCTTCCCAAATTGGTAAAAGAAAAAACCCTCATGTGGGGCTGGGCCGCCGATCGCCACTGGTGGTGCAGTTTCGTCACCGGAAAACTCCAAAAACGCCCCGATCGGAGCTCGCTCCTCCTCCTCCCCACCCACGGGCGTCATGGAGACGCCGCCGGCTCCTTCTACTCCCCCTTCTCCGCCGCCATCCGGGTGCTCGCGTCCTGGCTCGACCGCCGCCGGTGGAGGTACCTTGTCCTGGTCCTCTGCAGCCCGCTCCTCGTCCCGCTGGTCCTCGCCGCGTGCCCATTCGTGTGCGCCGCCGAGATCTGGCGCATCGCGCGGCGGAAGCGGCGGAGGCGGGCGGAAGAGTGCGGTGGGGACGGCGGAGGAGACGAGGTGGGGCTGCTGCAGAGGTACCTGGAGGATCAGCTGATGCTGGTCTTCGGATCGGTTTGTGTTTGCGGGGACGATGATCGGAGCGTGGAGGATGAGGGGGATGGGGATGGGATCGATGTGAAATATCTCGATAGTGCGAGGCCTCTTCTGCAATAACAGAAATTTGCGGCGAATGATAGACATGCTAGTATGATGTTGCTACATTCTCTTTTATACCCTTACATTTTTATTTTCTTTTTCTTTTTTTATTTTTGGCTCCTCAATTAGTGTGGTTGTGCAATGTGCAATCAATGTACTTTTATTTATATTTTTCATAAATATGAAGATGTAGTGATGTACTATGATCCTTTTTGGTGGCATAGATTATAGGAGTCAATAATATATAAATTCTAAAATCAATGTTAGTGATTTTAAGTCTGTACTTAGGTAGTTATATTTTTGTGAAAAAATAGTCTACTTTGGTACACAAATTATACACTAAAAATATAAATGAAAATATGATATTTCACAATTCAAATATGTACTTTCTTAAGAAAAATGTATGGACGATACTTCTTGAAATAGTAACTAAAAATAAATAAAAAAAAATTATTTCTCGCCTAAAATTCAGATATTAAATTGGGTAAATTTTTTGGCCAAAATTTGACCCTAAGGTAATGTAATTAATGTACAAATTTATTTTGATCAAATATTGCAGCTATTACTTATATTATTTGCATTATTTAAATTTTATATATAATATATAGACAAAACTTGCTGCTATTACATTTATTAGGTGCATGGTTTAATTTTGGTATATACTATATTGATTAAAAAAGATAAAGGGTTTTTATTTAAAATTAAAAATAAAAAATAATTATTCATAATTTACGGGTCAATATTAACTTGAATGTAAATGAAATAGTCAATTATTTGTGATATAGTAAACTAATTAATAACTTACGGATCCATATAACTTGGACGTAAGCGTAGTGATCTATTATCAATCGTTTAATAAATTACTCAACTAATTAATTCTTTTTTTTTTAATTTGAATAGTTTATACAAAAACAAAATTTATTTTAATTAATGAAACAAAATAATTTTTATATTTATATTTATTATTCACATAGGTTGTTAAATATATTATAAAATTTTACCAAAATAATTATTTATGGAATCACATTATAATCAAATCGAATTTCTGAATAAAAACTTTGAAATGTTACTTATTTTGAAACGAATATAATGTAATTTATTATCAGTTATGTGCACGTAAATGTTGTATACTAATTTTAAACATACATTTTCATGTAATTTGCACAATTTAAACTTTATACAACATTTTAAATAAATTAATATATGTAAATTGTATTACATGTTGATTATATATTTTAATTTATAAATATTATTTAATAAAAAATTTTAATTTATAAATATTAATGAATATCTCTTACCCGTGCACTGCACGGGGTTCATACTAGTTCTTATTTATTAGGACGCCTAACACAAAAAAATTGAATGGATTCAATATTATGCATAGTTTATGATTTGAAAATCCATCTATAACATAAAAAAAAAAAATGTGAATAGAGGTTATGCAATTTGTTTGTGTGCATTGGTGTTCAATTATGGCGACCAGTCTAGCCAACACTGTACTCGATACGTTGGAGTTGAACTTGGTTGTTTCGAGCACATTTATTGGATATAATTACAGTTTTGTATAACCTTTATATGAGAAATGTGAACGGATAAAAAGAAATATTTCATATGGTCTTATTTTTTTAATATTATCAATACAATTAAATAATATATTAATTATTTTCTATCATTATTTTATTACTTTATCACATAAAAATTAGTTATTATAATCTATATCATATTTACAAACTCAAAATTAATCAATTTCTTATGTCCAAAAGTTGATCTTTTCCATTTGTTTCATCATGTTACCAATGGACATCTTTTGCCAAAATTAACTTATATCCAATCAATCTTAAGTTAGTCATGTTGACCCAATATTAGTTCAAACGGGTTGAGAAATTGTGGTTTGACAGGTTTATTATGTTTATGGATTCATGTTACTCGTGTTTGTGATACTGATAATCGTTACCATTTGTGTGACGATTGTTGGCACATATTTCTTGCTGAATGCTGAGAACTATCACTGGCAATAAACTTCGTTTTTCTCGGCTGCCTCCACTGCACTTTACGTGTACCTCTACTCGACATATTACTACCACTCGAAGACAAAAATGTCGGGTTTTTTTTTTCCAGACGAGCTTATAATTTGGATACACTTTGATGTTCTGTCTTGGTCTGGGTATTCTATGTGGTGAGTTTACTTTGGTTGTGTTTGGTAAGGATATAAGCTAGCTTATTACTTATTTGATTAGCTTATAAGCTTTCTGTATTCAAATAAGTTTGGTTTGGCAGGACGAGCTTTTTTAAAAGATCGAGTTTATCTCATAAGTTTCTTGGGTAGCTTTTCAAATAAGCGAATTGAAATTTGTATTAAGCTAATTTTACCCACCACTTTTATCATGTAAGCTAATTTTTCTAAGTCATAAATTATCAGCTATAAACTCAAAATTCACTTAAAAGCTATAAGCTAGCTTATCAACTAGGTTTACCAAATATATAGTCTTTATGTCCTTCACATATACCATATATCCTTTTCCCTTTCAATGTTAGCTGATTTTACGTTAATTTGTATCAAACTGTCGTAAATTTCAGGTGCCGTTGGATATTTGGGCTCAAACTTATTCGTCAGGAGAATTTACAGAAACATCAAATGTGATTGATCTGCAAGCTGTGAAAACAGAATTCATTTCGACGAAAAAAAGGAAAAGCAAAAAGGAGTGAAAACGAGTCGATATTGATGAACTTGCAGACGAACTTTTTTCTTTGCAGGAGTGAGAACGAGTCGGTGTTGTGTAAGCTCGGCTCAAGTCTTGGTAAAGCATCGACCCGAAATTTTCCTTCCTTTCGTATTTCACGAATTGCACGATACCTTTTTACTGCAAAATGTTTGTAGCATGTAAATTCTTTTGCTGTGTAGGGATTTTGTTTCTTATACAAACCTCTGGCTGTAGTATATTTTCTTCCAATATTTGTGGACAGGTTTTATGTATTGAGAAGGAACAAAATTGTTATACATTTTGCCTCAAAATCAATCAATTACATTTGCCCATTTTTTCATGGGCATTTGATAAGCAGTCCAGTTTTTCGTATTTGTGTTTTCACTATTGTGATTTAGTGTTATTTATTTTGTTTGATCGTTAATATGATTAATAGGTTCAAATTTTTTTACTCTGTTTGTACACTTTCGTGATCCGAATTAGAAATTATTATTTTTTCTCGAATATAATCATTTTTTTTTTTGAATAATAATAAAAATTCTTGATGCTTTAATACAAAGTAAAAGTAAAAATGAAATATTGAAACTTACTGGGCCATTGGTGCTTGTACCAGGCAGAACAATTTTGTAGAAAGTGTGTTCATCATCATGAAAAATGTTGTACAGGTCCTTCTATAACTATTAAACTATTTTTACTATTAGACATTATTTTTTTCTAGTTTATTTTATTTTATTTTGGTGTGTGTTTCTGTTGTTTTGTTGGTCACATTGTGCATATTTCTCAACTTCAATATTGAATTCAATTTGGGTTTTCTAATGTTGAGTTCAATTAATTTCATTTTTTTTTTTGATGAAAATGCATTGAATAATTAATCACAATTGTCCAAATTAGATTATCAAATCTGGAAATAGATGAATATTATTACATTATGCTTTTTATTACATTTCCTGAAAATAATATAATTTGGTTTAACAGATAATATTTTTGTCTAAAAGTGCTATGAAACACATACCACGGCCTTGTTATCCTTCTCTATATATTAATTCAAAACGTGTTGAGACTAGGTGACTGATTCTCACGCTTCGGATGCTGACATGGCGAAAATCTATGCTTCGTGATGTTGTTTTTATATTATTGCTCCGGAGTTAAGTTTGGTATTAGACATAAATAACTTTACACATATATTCATTAACTCAACACCCATGACGTACATGTGTATTACAACTACTAGTTACTTTAATAGCCTGTTTGATTTTGATTCATCTCAAAGGATAACTCTCTTATTATATTATTCATATAAGCTTTATCAAAACAAAATTTAAATTAAATATTTAACAATTAGCTCCTCCTTTTCAACTGTCAACAACTTTATATTAGCCAGCTACACCTACATCAGCCATGAGTCTTGCTCCCAAGTGTGGAGAAAATTACTCCTCAGAGCATCTTTACTCATAAACCTCATTTTACACTTTTCAATATTATGCCACATCATTCAAAACTTCACTCTTAATCTTCCACCTATAAACCTCCAATAACCATAAACCTCATTTTGATAAGTCCCACATATTTTTACTTACTTTTTATCTATATTATACTCTTATATTTTTATTAGTATTTTTAAACTATAACTCCACTAATTAGTTGTATTTTATGGTATATAAAGTACATAAGCATAAAAAATTATATAAGACAATTTCATATTTATTAACCAATAATAATTATAATTACTATTAATATTTATTATATTAGAAAATTTCATATTTCATAAACCAGAATTAGAATTTCATATTAACAATGTAAATAAAAAAGCAAAACAAAACCATATAGATTTAAGTAAAAAGAAACAGGAGGATACAAAATACAAGCCAAAATTATCAGGAAAAAAAATGAGATGGGAAAACGTGGGGGACATTGTGGGAAAAGAGGTGGGCCAGCAGTGCGTCACTTGGTTTCTGGCGTTTGTAATACACGTTCGCATTTTTTATGCTAAAATTTATTGAGTGCAATCACTCTCCTTTTTAAATAGTATTGTTTCTTTTTATTTTATTTTTAAAGGGAGGTTTAAAGAAGGTTTATACTGTCAAACCTGAATAAATTTTCAAAACCTCAAACCTTGTCATTATTATAATGGTTAAACCTGAAAAGTGAAGTTTGTAAACCTCGTGAAAACCTTCCGTTAAAGATGCTCTCATGTCTTATTTTGTTACTTATTTATATTTATACAGTAGATAATTCTTAATTATTTTACATACCAGTTTGTTTACTTTTTTACGTGTTATTGAACATGTCAGTTTTTTTCAGCGGTTCCCAAGTCAG